GTACCTGCAGTTTTCCCCGATATTCTTTGGTTCAGCCACCGAGCTTGTCTGAATTTGCTTGGTAAATAATGTTTTTTCGTTGCACGGCAAAACATATAACACCTTTATTCGTATTCGGTTACCACTTTTTACACGTTTATTGTGGGTTTGTCCGAGTCATTTGACAAGCCCTGCTCGGGCGAGAAAAGTATAACTTATTGGAAAGCGAGGTCTCAGTCGTTTATACAGTATAACACTACTACTACAGTGAATACAACAATTACTACTACTACTGTGAATACAACAATTACTACTACTTTTGTTTTTGTTTTTTAAATGGCCTCCAGCCTCCCCCAATAGCCACACCTTCGCCGCCATTTTATTACCATAAAATTAAATATCCTAATACATAAGTAGCTATCGTAGCTGTGTTGAGTTAATTGAGCCGCAGATCTATGCAGCATTTAGTGACTGTTGCCTCATAGTCAATATCTGCAACTGTTGTCGGCTTTGGGGCCGATGCTCTCGTTCCCCTGAGGCAGAGCAAAGCAGACCTAAGGAGAGCGAAGGACAGTCGACATCTCATACAGTCTGTAACATAACTTCTGGGCTGCTGCTTCTGTTCAGATAGCACCTCGCGAGTCTGGCGTAGAGGCATCTTGCACTTGGTCCCATCCCACCAGAGGCTGTGAACACCAGAGGAGTGAAGCTGCCTTGATCACCGTTCTGAATTCTCTCCCAGTATGCCCCTATATTGTCGTTCCTGTTCCTCCTGTGTGCAGCATCGAGAGCTAAGTTACGGTGACATGCGGCCATGGGATAAAAAGTCCTGATGTCGAAGAAGGCTCGCTGTCCCCGCGTCCAGAATCCTCGAGCACTGACGTCAACACGGGCTTCGTTGGATGTGTTTGAAGTCCTATGTTGGAAATTCTCACCGTCCAATGGAAGGAGAGTCGGTTCTACCATGACATCACGACAGATTTTCTTCAACATATTTGCTGTGAGATCCCTTACTTCGTCATGCCTCATGCATATGAAGCCCCCCTTCCTTGCACACCATGGCGTGATCGACGTCATAGGAAGAGCCACACACGCATTGGGAGGGCAAACCTTCTACTGGCCTACCGTACTTTAGAGCAATGGCATCTGTAAGTTCTCGTTTATTGAGACTGAAAGCATTTGTCCTTATCGGTAACTACTACTACTCCAGTGAATACAACAATTACTACTACTAATACTAATACTGCGAATACAGCAATTAGTACTACTACTACTGCTGTGAATACAACAATTACTACTACTACTACTGTGAATACAACAATTACTACTACTACTACTTCTACTACTGTGAACACAACAATGCAAAAGTTCTTCTGTATAATGAAACACTCGTACTAAATTCTTACATTTTCAAGTGGCCTTTCTGTTTCTTGAGACATTTACAACAAGTTGTTACTGAATGTCTGAAAATAAGATATATTTTTGGTTGTGATTGCGTAGACCTTTGAACGTCTTTCCTACCTGATGACCCTGTTAATATTTTTCTCGTGTTGGATCACTCTTGAGTTGGTTAGTCTCCGCGAAGAAGAATTCTCGTTCACGCTTGATTTTCACCGAGTTAAGGGCAACACTGTATAATATTAAGAATTTGTAATGCGCTTAAAGCAGACAATTTCACAACACCCAACAATTTATTGAGTCGTAATGAGTTCCTTCTCGCGAAATTTTCGACCCTTCCATAAATTTGTTGTGGCGTGATTTCAAAGAAACGTAAGAAATTTAGAAATGTGTACGTTCAGCCATGAACCCCAACGCGACGCTCAGTGAGACAATTGACTTTACATGCCGTTCCAAAACAGCGTAGCTATCACTCACGGTGGCAGAAGAAGACATAGTACATGGGGGAGGAGATAGACGACAAGGAGGGGGTGCTGGTACTCGTGTAACCCGAGACGGACCAACGTCTCTCTTAATTCTTACAAATACCACCGTAATAACAAAGGCACGACGGGCCCTCTATATTGCCCCTTTGGGTAGTCTGTCTGGTGGAGTCAGGGCGGGCCCAGGGGACACGGACCACTCCCTAGCCCCACCCTTACTAAAAGAGAGGTTGTACACTATTCTCATCCACCTCTCTTAAAAATAGATGATGACATGAGATGACACCATCTGCCACTTTTTACCGCGAGATGGGATGCGGCGGTGAACTCAGTCGCCCATCTGTGCCCACGGATGGTGGGGTGTTTTATCACTTTATATCAAACGTAGTGTTGTCTCGTGTTTATACACATGTGTATAGCTGTTTGTATAGCGTATGCTTACTTGGATGTGTACCTAGAGTGAAAAACACTTGACAGAAACTACAGAGCAAACCCTAAACGATTCTTTTGAGTTCATGTATAATCAGTTTGGCTGTATAGGTAGATTTGCTAAGAGTCGGACGTCTTATTTTCAAGATAGGTAATAAAGACGTTAGTCGTTTTTAGTTACTTTTTCATTCTTTGTTCCATGAAATAAATACTCTTAAGAGTACAGTGATCACATGGTGACTAATGAGAAAATTACATCTCTCGTTGGGCGGTGTCATTCAGTCTACAGGACGCCTCTCACCCAGAGGATCACATTCGTGTCCTTCCGCCCATTTCCTGATCTTCAAGGATCCTTGGGACAATCTCGCTGATTTCCGCCTGTTATAGTAAATGGAAATTAGTTATGTATTAGCTACATTTTTTCATATATATATATATATATATATATATATATATATATATATATATATATATATATATATATATATATATATATATATATATATATATATATATATATATATATATATATATATATATATATATATATATATATATATATATATATATATATATATATTTCATGTAGATCCACAATGAAAACGCGGATAAGATAAATCTTGGTAAAATCACACGGGAAAAGGGAAACAACGGAGCACCTTAGCTTTCGTCTTTATTCAAGACATAGGTTGCTTAAGTCGATTTTTAACCTACTATTAATATTTTAGCACCCGAGTAAGAATCTTTTGCTCCCAAAGTTCGTATAATTTGTACAAAAAAAAAATAGATATATGATGAAAATAAGTTTATTATGTACAATTCCACTAGTGTTTAGCAGGTGTTGACCGTGGAATAAACGTGACTGAATATATAACCTTTGCAAGAGAGTAAAACAACTCGAGCTTAAGAAAGATATTGATGGTAGATGTCACTGAAAGCCAGTACTATGCAAGAAAGAAAACACTCATAAGGCGAGGAAACTACGTCATAGAAAAAAAAATTCAGCCTGAATAAAAATTACTGTAATGTCACAGGCATATTATTATTGAGTATGTCCATTACCGTCCCGCAATTGAAAGAGCGACACCGGAACACGTAATAATTGACAATCGTGCGGGGAAATTGAACCATTCCAATAAGAACAAGGATGGCCACAGAAGTAAAGGTTAGCCTATCTGCCGTGACGGGATCAACGCTCGTGTTGACGCCATATCCTGGTCAGTCCTTCGTGACAAACGGACCACTGTGTATTTCTGTTTCGCGAAAGGGTTGAAGAAGGATGTCGTTTTAATGATCTATTTTCTCTGAATTATATTGGTTGGTGTTAACTGCAACTGATAATAGATGTGAATCACTGAACCGTTAAGTTACTGCGGCCAAGTTGTCTGAGTGAAATAAAACCAAGACTTACCAAACATGAAGGGATGAGTGAGGCTTTGTCCGTTTAGGGTCCTTTTTATCAAACATGTTTGTTAATGGTCTTGTTTTTTTTTTATCTTTGAGAACGCCTGTAAGCGGACGCCGAGTTTGTGGCGCCAGGGGGGTAAATACCAGGAAAGACTTGAAGAGGACGCATCTTTGTGCTGGGATAAGCTCGAGTGGGGAATCCTCTCATTGCCTTTACACACACCTTTTTTTCTTTCAAGGCTGATCTTAGTAGAAATTGGAAATATCACCAGTTAAACACACGCTTCTTCGTGGTTCAATTCTGCAAGCAATTACATAATTTTCCTCACAAGAAAGCTGAGCCAATTTGCACGTCACTATTTCTTTAATCAATACAAAATGGCATGTTTTCTACTTTTCATGTAAGTCAACAATGTTGCCATGGAAGAAAATTTTTTTGGTTCTCTGACCATATTTAAACCTCTCCCTACGATTCATTAATAGCGACTGAACCCCAAAGATATTTGACACTGAATGACTTAGTGTACCACATAATTTTCAGGTGATTAGGAATTGAGAGTTGAATTATCGATGTAAGAAAATGAAATATATTTTGCCGTGTCTATATTGAAGCATATTATTGACTGGTATTTAAAAAAAAACAAATGTGATTTTCTTAATTAGGTTTCTATGAAATGAACGTGCCAAGTAATGTCCTTTTGACCTCTACACAGGTGCGCTGAGTACAAGTAGAGAAGTTAAACTGTGAAGAGGAATCCCCTCACCGTCCTTGAGGTGAAATTCGCCCTTACACGTCCTTTAAAACTATTTGTGATAACTGTAGGCATATTTTAGCACATCATAATTAGTTACAGCTGATCACTTGACAGGAGGAACACTGAACTGCGACCTTTTATACATTTTAGAATATGATCGCAGCACCCTCAGTGTCAAGACCTGACTGAATTACTCAAAATAGGCAAACTCTACTCCAAGCTTTGTCAATACATTTTGTAAACTAAGTTAAGTAGTTATTCCGATGTATACAATAAATTATATTTGCACATCCTCATTACGAGTTGCATATTCTAATGCGCATGGTCTATCTTCAGGCCTTGTGTGCTCGCTCGGCTTGTGCTGTTCATGTGTGTTACCATGCATACGCCTGTTGTCCAGCATACGATTATAAATATACCCTTGTATCTATTTTTGCAGATAAATGTAAATATTTATGGATTGGTGTTTATTTGTAAACATGGTAGTCAGTGCTCGAGCGTGTGGATATGAGTGTACGGCTACAACGAGGCTTTGTGTTGGTTGAGCAGGGAACCCGCGAGGCTAGGCTAGGGCGGCCAGGCGCATATGAGCACAGTCAAGGGTCAGACAGCGGTGGTACGCCAGTGTCTAGTGGCAACAGCTGAGGGACGCCACTACCAGACATGGCTCCTCCACCCACGTTATCCTAGCCTATCCACGTACACGTTTACTTGGTGTTGTGATCTGTTCTGCGAGACGGTGCTACTGGTGTCTGTATTTATGTTGTGTGAGCAATGAAAGCGTGTGATTTTTAATGCATCGTGATCTATTACCTATATGTTACAGAAATCAAAGTGGTGCTGGTGCATTATAATATAAGACGAGTTTAACTTGCGAATAATGGATGTTTCATTGGAGACCATGTAAAGGCGAGATCAAGCTATATACTAGATATAAAACTTTGCGAATCCTTATAAACAGACATAATTTCAATAAAAGATGAGTCCGACAGAGACTATGAAAGGGGCGACCAGGTGCTGTGTAAGGCCCCTAGCACTCCTACCTTCCCTCCTGCTAGCGACGTTGGCCCTCTTCCTCACGCTGCCGACGGAGGCTCTGGCACAGTACAAAACGGAGAGAGCGCCATTTAACGAATTTCTAAATTATGGCAAAAAGAAACTCAAGCCAGGCCCCGAGTTAGAGAACGAAATAATCAAATCAAAGGTGGAAGTTCTGGGAGAAATTCTCAAGCATCATGTACATAGTCTAAGACAGGTACAGTATTTTGTTTTTCTTGGTAAATGTATTGGTGCGACTGAGAACTCTTAACGAGGTCGCATTTTTCAAGTTCATGGCCTAGTGGGTGGAACAACCTCGCCATCTCTTTCAAATTGCAGTTACATGTTTTTCTTCATTGTGAATATTTGTTAATAATATATGTAATTTAATTCGAGGGTACTTTACAATGAAGGTGGTGTCCAGATAAGCCTGTCACAAGCCCATTTTCTACGCTTTAGAGTAAACTTCTTTTTTTTCTTTTTACTGATTGCTTAGGATAAATCCACACCAGGCAAGAAATTTCATAAATTTTTAAATGTTAAGTATTTCTCACGAGGAAGCAATTTTTTTTTTCCACGTCATCACTAATTTTACGAACAGTGAATTATTGAGCAATTAAGTATATGCTAGCTAGTCAAAAGGTTACCCCAATCAGTGAGTTAGTCAGTCAATAATAGTAGTCATGCAGCTAGATGACTGCAAAAAACAGCCGATACGCCTGAAACGGACTCGTGGATTTTACGAGAGAAATAATTAGCGCCTCCCAGCCATCCGACCTTCACAACGACCCCAGGCCACTGGAAGGCCGCGGAACCTCTCCGCCTGTGATAGTGTTGACTTGCTGGCTATACATGGAGCCTCAGTTTACTTCGTCATTCGCTCGTTTTATATCTTATCAGATTCACTGTTTACACCATAAATACCTTTCAATCTTTATACGTTTAAAAGATTTATTAATAAGCTACAGGTTTTAGTTTAGACTTCCATTTTATAAGATATATATTTGTATTAATGATTCACTTTAGTAAAGAAAGTTATACCGAGGTGAGTGTACCCATACCCGTGACCTCTGAGAGGAGTACAACAGCAGCAACTCTCGGGAATGCCATGGGCCTGCAACCTGTTATGCGCGGGCACGCCTCGACCTACAGGTGCAGTAACTCACGTGGGGGAAAAAAGTTATTAAATCCACACGATGGACCCGGGACAGGAAGCAGGTAGCAGAGCTTATTATGATATTATGGTGGTGGACGATTGGTTACGTCAACAAATTCTACCTCATTGGGGTGTCTAATGTTGCTACCCGAATTCGGTAACTGAGTGAGATCTTAAAACGTGCACTTTTTAAACAGCTTATTTAAATCATTATATTCTCCTAAAAGTCTATTATGAAACTAACACCACTGGCGCCTTTACGGTGTGGTTGGTTGTCTGTGGTAAACTGCATTCTGTGACTAGCCTCAATCTTTGTAATAGCTTCGTCGTGAGATAAGATCACTGAGGGGGTGGCGGGGTTTAGCAGATACAGACCCAACAATGATGGTGAGGGAGGCAAGGAAAGGGTGTGGATGATTTTTAATTGTGCCACTTACAGCGGCTAGTTTATTGTGCACCCCATACTCATCCTGTGAGCGGTAGTGCAAAAGATGAGTACTGGGGGGGGGGGGGTACTGTAGAGTTCAGCAGGTCGTTGTGCGTTAGAGGAAAAACAACTTAGACACGACATATTTGTATCTTACATAAAAAAAATGAGCAAACACTTCCAGAATTAATACACTTCCTACCTGAATATTCATAGAAACTTCGGAGTTTTTTTCACAGACTTTTCAATGTAGCTCAATAGGAAATATTTCATAGAAGTTATTTCAAGATTAGCCTATATACCGATATATCTTACGTGTAAATTTTAAGACCACAACATTTTGAAGACTTTCCGAACAAATATCGCGAAGGCAGCACTGCATATGGGACAACTGTAACGGTCACTCAAGGATTGGGACAAGTAGCAGGAGTCTCACTAGGATGATTAAATAATGGGCGGCTGGTGAAAGTAACAAGGGATGTTAACAACGGCTCCCATAAACGTGATTCAACGTAATTTAATGTTAAGAAGCTCACAGGCGGTTGAGTCAGTCGGTCAGTACTCAGTTGGCGCGACTAAACTCGCTTATGTGGACCATGGCTAAATTAAGTTGACTTTCACGTAGTTGAGTCACCGCCGCGCCGCAAACGATGGAAAGATTAATCTGATTTATAACTGAAGCTGATGTTTGTCTTCATAATAATCAACTTTTATGTTGTTGAGACTTTTAATTCACCATGTTAAGTTATAAAGTTGTTTACCATACGAAGACTCACAGTGGATTTTCAGTAATTTCCACCGTTTGGTCTGTGCCTACATATTTACTATATGTACCGGGTAGTCATAAATTGGGCCCCTGCTGTCTTGTGCATCATAGGTATCCAGTGGCGGAACGACTCGTCTTGATTGGCTATTTCACGTTCCACGAAGAGTTTCACCAGCAGATACCAGTACCTGTTGTCTGTGTATAAGGACAACAAGGGGCTATAATTGAATATATGTTAGCACCAGACCTTGTGTCAGTAAATTTGTCATAATTTTAACCTTCCATGTTGTTGTCTTTGTCAGAAGTGTTTGTTTTTTGTTTGTTATATAAGCAATGGGACTCAATCCTCTTTATGGGAATCTAAAGGGATCACCTGAAAACTAGGCACCCCAGTTTATTTCGCCAGAGGATTAAACACCTAATGCTAACTTTAACATAACAACATTAGCCCCCAGGTAGTATTAGAGTGGTTTTATTCAGGCGAAATAAGTTAGAGTACCTAATTTTCAGGTGAGCCTCTAAAGGATATTATTATTAGTAGTAAGAATGTAAAGGGGTTATCGTGTAAAAGGCCTAGCCAAACTGAACCTTTAACCTAGCCAAACTGAACCATTAACCTAGCTAAGCCGAACCTTTAACCTAGCCAAGCCGAACCTTTAACTTAGAACCACTGAACCTATAACCTAGCCAAGCCGAACCTTTAACCTAGCCAAGCCGAACCTTTAACCTAGCCAAGCCGAACCTTTAACCTACTCAAACCGAACCTTTAACTTAGAACCACTGAATCTATAACCTAGCCAAGCCGAACCTTTACTTAGAACCACTGAACCTTTAACCTAGCCAAGCCGAACCTTTAACCTACTCAAACCGAACCTTTAACTTAGAACCACTGAATCTATAACCTAGCCAAGCCGAACCTTTAACTTAGAACCACTGAACCTATAACCTAGCCAAGCCGAACCTTTAACTTAGAACCACTGAACCTATAACCTAACCAAGCCGAACCTTTAACCTACTCAAACCGAACCTTTAACTTAGAACCACTGAACCTATAACCTAGCCAAACCGAACCTTTAACTTAGAACCACTGAACCTATAACCTAGCCTCGCTCAACTTACAACCTAACCTTACTGAACCAAATCAAACATAAGCAGGTTATTCGGGTCTAAACCAACTGCAGTAATATCAAAGTGTCCTCTCTCATTGAAGCTTCTAAGTGATGTTACAAGATATGGCAGGCTCGTGTTTGCAGCCACCCCAGCCACTCTCACCCATCATCCAAGACGACAAGCATGAACTCCGTATATACTTACAAATTGGACGATGAAAAGGCTTTGTGCTTCGCCTTACACATATATAATGTAAAGGGGTGCCCAATAAACTTACAGTTGTAGGCTAATGATAAATGGCCGTCCGTATCTTCAGTCCCGTGTTGCGTGGGGCGAATCTGAGCGTGGAAGAGCCGATTTTAGGACAAAAATAGTCCAGGACCGAACTTTGGACAAGGGAAAGGTTTATTTAACAGCCATTTTGGTAATTTTATGCATTTGGTATGCGCTAACCGCACCATAATTTTATTTAGCTTTGTCTAATTTATGTATTTTTATCTTGGGGAGCCTTGAGCAACTTGATATGCTATAGATTGATGCATTTCCGTGTTTGCGGTACTTAGCACTACCTGGGGGCAGCTGATATGGGGGTAAGAGCCTATTTTGTTTTCAGTGGCCTTGTGGTGTCGGTGTTTAGGAACGTTCCACATGACCTTAGACCTAAATCTCAGCTTATACTTACGGAGGATGTAATAACACACACACATGCACACATACCCACGCGCACACATACACACACATACACACACCCACACCCACACACACACCCACACACCCACACACATACACCCACACATACAAATACAAACACACACACACACACACACACACACACACATACCCACACATACACACACACACATCCACACATACACACATACACCCACACATACACAACAGACAGCCGTTTCGTGACAAGTTGTTTGTAGGGAAGAAATTATTGTTCCTATTGTGTGATCACCTTGGTAAGTGTATCGTTGTATTGTATCAGATAATGTCAGTGTTTATATTCTAGTAGTGAGGACAGAATGGCCCTGTTTGTGTGGATAAAGACAAGATATTTAGAGTAGTTTAATAGGGATGTTGACGCTGAAATATAATAGTGTTACGACTTGACCCTGCCACCCACAGTCATCATCCTTAATTAGTGACTCCCACACAACCTACCCCCACACGTTCATGTGAAGATATCCCACACCACCCTCTTATCAACCCCACTTAACGATAATGGGAATTTTAAAGAGGAAATAAAGTAGAGTGAAGTGCCCTTGTTCCCTGTCTACCCCCCCCCCCCCCCCCCTGTTCTTATGGCTTGGATTTCCTCCCAAGAAATAAATGAATTGAAGTATAAATTGTCCAGCACACCGGGGGAAATATAGTACCAAGTCTCAACGATTCCTAACCTTAATTTTTATTCTTGTTTGGAGATGAGGTTTTTTTTTTTTTAGTTATGGTGGCGCCTTAAGTTAATTTCGACTTTGACTGGCCGTTTTCGTTCGTGTTGTGGCCGAGCTTAAGTTTGATTTTTTGTTACTGTAGTGCATACGTTCTTATATAAAAAAAATCGTGGAGAAAGATGAGATGGAGATTAAAATTTAATATATCTTTGAATGACAGGCTGAAAGTTTAGAGAAATAATTCAAAAGTACTGTTTAAGGCTTAAGTTGCTCCCTCCTTTCTGTAAACCTCTTGGTTGTCTCTCTGTTGCTCACATCATCCCCACAAGACGGGCTGGAGACGGTGGGGGTGGGGGGTGGG